AGAGGGAGTAGCTTCTATTTGGGTCTAATTTTATTATTAAAATATAATAACTTCCTCCAAATTTTTAATCCAAAATCGAGAGGGTAGCTTTTATTTAGGGGTAGCTTCTATTCAGTAATATATGGTAATATAACTTTTTAAAGTTTATATTTTTTTATAATTTTTAAAAAATTTATAATATAAAAATTAAATTGTTTAAAAATTTTTTGTTAATTTTATTCCTTTTTTAATATCTATATATAATAAAATGAATAAGACTAATTTTCACTGATGGTGAAATCACCTGATAAATATTGTATCACATTATCGAAGATTTGTGTTACTTTACCTATCTGCTATAAAGTATATAAAGTACGTATATATATACGTATATATATACGTACGTATATACATATGTATATATATACATGCTTACTTATTTGATATGTACAAAACCTAACTACAATAGTATAGGGTTAATTCAGTAATTGCTTAGTTGTAGACGAAGTTGAAGGTGAAGAGGTGTAGAAGAAAAAGTAGAAGCAGTTACACTTTACAAGACCATTATTAATATACTAACTTCAAGAATTAAGTTCTAAAACAAATATTCCAAGGCAATGATAATAACAACAGCACAACAAAAGCATCCAATGCAAAAGCCCAGTAATAATCCAATGTAGAAGCCAATAATGATCCAATGCAAAAGCTCAGTAACAAGCCAAGGGAAAAGCCCAGTAACAATTTAACACAGACATTCAGTAATGACCCAACTAGATACTCAGTAACAACTCAACGTAAACATTTATTACAACTGAATATAAACATTCAATAACTAGCAAATGAACTTAGCACTTAGAAACGACCGGAAGCAAGAAGATTTTTAATAATTCAGCTCGTTTAGCAAAAAAAACAATTGTATAATAAGAGATTAGTAAAATAGGTGTCTAAAAGAATATAAAATAACACTTTGATTATTTTTACCTCTGTTATTTCAAAATTAGTTCCATGATAATAACAAATTTTTTTTTACCAATAGAATAAAGTGTACAGCTTCACAAAATAATATTATCAGTTATACACTTTTAATGCAATGGAAGAATCAATATATTTTAATGATGAGGATGATAATATAGAGCTAAATGCTGGTATAGAGGTGGATGATGATATAGAGATAAATGGTGATATAGAGGTAGATGATGATATAGAAGTGGACGATGATATAGAGGTGGATGATGGCATAGAGGTGGAGAATGATAATATAGAAGTAGAGGATGATATAGAGGTAGACGATGATATAAAGCAAGACGATATAGGATTAAAAAACAATCAAATTACACTGTTAAAGTTAAAAGGAAGTATGTGTTTAGTACCTAAGAAATCGCCGAAACCTACCTTAGTGATTTTGTAAAACAAGAAGAATTTTGTTTTCGAAAATGTAGACGTATAATGGATCCAGATGATAAATCGATAGTAAGACGACGAATATATGAATGTTTCCATTCAGGTGTATATGAATCAGAAAAGGTTATTTTTGAAGAAAAGAGGAGAGATCGTGAATGATTGGATATAGCTAGCATATCAATTTTTCTTTTTCAAAAAAGCAAATAGTATACGAATTAATAGTATTGCTAGTACTCATAATCATATATTAAACCCTTGTATTGAAGAAATAGCACCAAGATTCTGCTACCTTACTAATGAAATGCTTGAGAAAATCAAACTTTGGACACTTCAAGGAAGTTTGGAGATACCAAACCAATACAGTTTACTCACAGCATCTTTTCCTAGACAAACAATTAATAAAAAAGACCTAAGCAATGCTATTCAAAAATTTAAAAAGCAGATGAAACCTGTTCATGGTGATGCTTGTCAAATGCTTAATAATTTGTATTTAAAAAAGATAATGATCCTTTATGGGTAGTAAAATCTCATTTTAAAAATAGTAAAAGAAGACTTAATTCTTTATTCTGGATGTCTTCAGACCAAGTTTGTGCTTATAAAAAGTACTATGACATTATAATTGTTAATACAACTTCAAAAACAAATCAATTTGATATGATTTTAATGTTAGTTATGGTAGTTGATAATGATTTTAGGAACCTGATAGTAGCCACAGCTATTTTGAAAAATGAGACTGAAGAGACATTTTCTTGGGTCTTACAGGAGTTAAAAATTCATATAATGTTATACCAACTGTATTAGTTTCTGATTCTGATTTGGCTCTAATGGCTGCTGTTAAAAATAATTATCAAGATACTCACTATCTCCAATGTATATTTTATATATTTAGACATCATGAGCATAATGTTCAGGTTGCTTATATTTATAATAATGCCTCTCACACTTTTGCTTATTTTGAATTACTAATCTACTATTTTCAGATTCTTGAACTGAATTTGTAATATCTTTCATAGTCCTTGCCTTTTGTTTTGCACTGTTTTACCTCCTGATTTATACCTTTTAGGTTGTCGCCCTTTATGATTCACCCGTATTGGATCACTAACAATATTATTAGTATTTACTTGATTATTAAAAAGTTCTTTTTTTGTTTTTTCAATAAAATTTTCAAGCTGATTAACAAGTTCATCAATCTTATAAGCCTGAATAGCATAATCGATTGCTTTTTTTGCATATTCTATACTAATCCCAAACTTTTGTTTAGGACCTTACAATTGCATAATATTAGGCATTTGTCTAATTTTTATAAGATGATTAAGTAATAGTTGATTCAAAGCCAGATCTGTTTGATTTGTATTAACTTGATAAGTTGGTACTAATAAATGTTCTTGTTGGCTAATTTGAAATTTCTTACTATTATACTAACATTGTAGAATGAGCATAATATGAAATTTAGCATTAACTGAATAAGACATTACTTAGAAAAAATGTCTGCATACAATTTCACAATTAATGAACCAAAGATATATACACAAATGTGACACATTATCAAGTATTATAACATATTGGAAAGCTAATTGTTAATGACAATATCTATATACTTTCCATACTTTCTGCACATTGTGTAATTCTATATTTTCAAATAATGAAGAAAAAAGTAATTGTGGCTGGTTATAGTTATCCTCTCTAGTATTACCATTTAAATAAAAATTATCTACTTGCTAAAAATAATTGGTTTTATTAATATTTAATACAAATATATTTAATTTTAATGACTACTATAATTAATCAAGATAAATATTAAAATGAAGAATAATTACCTTCATTAAAAGCATCCAATTTTCAATTAATACAACTTCATAACAAATAGATTGTGCTATTTGGTCTCTTTGTTTTTGATGTATTTCAG